CCTTGATGGAGGACTTGAATGGGTGTGGGACCTTGAGTGGAGGCCCAGCGTTCTGGATTTGAAAGAGGGGGCCAACAGCTGTGCTTGGAATGTTGGATTCGAAGGAAGGAAAGAAACAAGTCTTATGTTTCTTTCCAAACTGGATTCAAAGGATACTGAAGAGTACTTGTTCTTCAGAATCGAAGTATGTGATTCTGGGTTTGTTCTCACAAGTGTTGAAGGGACTTGAGAGATTTGTTGTGTTTGAGAAAATTTGGGGGATTCGTTCCTCTGGTCCAAAGATCCTCTCTTAAACATGTGTTGGAGCCTCTTATTTATAGGCAAAGTTGGCTGAAGCTTTTGGAGGGAAAACAAAATAATTTGAACAATTTGGGTAAACTACTCTTTGTAGCCTTCGAGGGACAGTGGTTGTATGCTGTTTTGGTGCAAGAATGGGGCAGTGTTTCAGGACTGCTGTGCAGCAGTTTTGGCCAGTGTACCATGTCTGAACTTGGCAACAAGCATCTTTGAATATTTTATCCTTTCATTTTGACCCTCCTTCGACCAGATTCTTCTTCCAACACATTGTTTGACTTTCCTCCAACAAGCGTCCTTCGAACAAATCATCTTTGTGCATCATTTGAAGGGGCCAAATGTGTGCTTCGAATGGACTAGTAAGGCGTACCCTTCGACAGGGACTCATATGTATGCCCCTCAAGTCCACCACTATATGTCTTTTGAGGGGGCCATCAACCATGTGCTGAAGTTTGTCAAGGATGGAAATGCAGCATACTAAAGAGAAATGTTGTCCAGTCGAAGCTAGTACAAACATAGTCAATGTCTTGTCGAAGCATGCATGGAGGAGGTCTAAACTTTGTGACTCCAAGCAAGCACACAAAAGGTTAATGCTCAAATAAAGACTTGCATGAAGGGAGCCACATGCCCAAATGAAAGAGGCATGCAGGAGGCAAAATGTCCAGATTCGAAAGAGGCATACATGAGGCAAAACGTCCAGATTCAAAAGAGGCAAATAGGGAGTAAGAGGTGCAAATCGAAGGATGTTAAAAGAGAGCCTTTTGCCTTGGAAATGAAATAGATTACAAGAGGCTCTTTTCCTTGTGAATCCAAACCAAACTGTGTCAGAGGCCCATGTCCAGTCGAAGGATGCAAGCCAAGCTTGTGTTGAAAGAGGTCAAAAGGCCAATCGAAGGATGCAAGCCAAGCTTGTGTCAAAAGAGGCCAAAAGGCCAATCGAAGGATGCAAGCCAAGCTTGTGTCGAAAGAGGTCAAAAGGCCAATTGAAGGAGCTGAAACGAAGAACACTTGTATTTCTCCAATTTTTGTCAAAATAATATTTTTATCTGTTTTCTCCCTTTTTGACAGTTTCCTTTTAATTTTGGTATTGGAAAATCCAAATGCACTTGTTCAAGCTTGAACTTTGAGAATCATTGTGAGAGATGCCTTGATAATTGAGAGGGCAAATTTTGGGGTACAACACTTCCTATTTATAGATTTTGGTTAGCTCAAAACCCAAAACTATAAAAGCCCAAAATACCTATTTTGGTACTAAATCAAATCTATCTATTTTAGATCTAAATCAAATCTATTGAAATCTAAAACAAATCTAATTTGTGTGCTCTTTGATACACCATAGTTTTGACATTATGAATTACAATTTAACAATAAAGTCACAAAGTTGAGGAAATGAAGTTGGTGAATAATAGTCGAATTTAGCAAAATTACTGGTATTTTCATCAGTTATGATTTCCTGACTTTATGGCCATTTTAAAGCGTGTTACATGTATTGTTTTGACTCGGTGTTAACATAAAAGTTGTTCATCTACTTTCTCTCTCCAACTTTGATGTTGAGACTTCATCATAAGGAAGTCCACAACTCAAGTTACTGGGTCAAGAAGAGAGCAACATGGCCACGAATTCACGGTCATTATTTGTTTACATACACCGCCATTTCTCTATTTGGCAAAAAAATCACTACACCATGCATTTGTTTTGAAAAAAATACACTCAAAATAAATTATAAAACTTGTTCATTAAATGTTATGTGCTAGCTTATCATACACTACAATACTCTCTCCCTCACATAATCAACACTCACTAACACTCCATTTCACTCTCTATTATTTTCGGAGGACGATCTCATTCTCACGAAAACTCACAAAAAAAATCTAACAAACTCAAAATTCAGTTACAACTCCAATCTTGGATTGCTTCAACAACTTCAACTTCAAGAGATAGTGGGTTATAATAGTATTTACTAATAGCATTTACTTTTCTAGAATAGTAGAAGTTTTTGGGTCTATATAAAGACCAAATTTGTATTTTATTTTGAACAGCAAGAAGTAAAAGTTTTCTCCTTATTTAACAAATTGACATCAGAGCAAATGGAAAACATGATGAATCAAATGCTGTTGCCACGACTAACGAAGTCAAATTATGAAAACTAGAGTATCCAAATGAAAGCTCTTCTTGGATCTCTAGACGCGTGGGATGTGACCAGAGATGAGTTTGAAGAACCAAAAGATGTTGGGGGATATAGGCAGCTCAAAATAAGGCGCTGAAAGAGATGAGATCAAAGGACAAAATGATACTATACATGTTGTTCAAGGTTGTAGACGAATCAGGCTTTAAAAAGATTATTGGTTCGACTACGTCGAAAGAAGTATGAGACACGTTAGAAAAAGTGTTCAAAGGAGCAGATTGAGTGAAGCAAGTTCGACTCTAAACTCTTTGTGGCGAATTGGAAATGATACAGATGAAGGAGACATAAATTGTATCTAACTACATCACACATGTACAAAAGGTGGTGAACCAACTCACCAGAAATGGCAAAACAATAACTGATGCACGGGTCATTGAAAATATATTGAGATCTTTAACAGATAAATTTGAGAATATTATGTGTGCAATAGAAGTGTCGAAGGACCTTTCGATGCTCTCAGTCAAAGAGCTAGCTAGTTCTCTTGAAGCACATGAACAACAAAAGATGAAAAAGAAGGAAGAAGCAGTCGAAGAAGCAAATCAAACCAAGGAGTTGAACAAAGACGAAAAGGTACTCTTTTCTCAAAACTTCCGAGGAAGAGGACGTGGCCGTGGAGGTCGTGACAATGGTCGAAGTGGTCGAAGCAGCAACTTCGAAAGAGGACAATCGAACCAACAAAATTAGCGTGGCAGAGGACATGGTCAAAGAGGTGGTCGATCGAACCACTCCAACTTTGAATGCTACAAGTGTGGGAAGTATGGTCATTACACAAAGGATTGCAACTCCTACAAATGTTACAACTGTGATAAAGTGAGACAACTATCTTGTGTTTGGTGTAACGTGATTTACCACGTGACTTTCACGTCGCAACAATGTCAACGGTCATATTCTCTTTTTTCACATGCCTGCAAAAGCTGATCATGTCAGTCTGAATTAATTTGATTTTCCCTCTTAAATGTTGCGACGTGAATATCACGTCACAACTGACTTTTTCAAAATTTCAAAAATCCCTCCATCTTAACGTTAGACCAATTAAAATATTTTATATTATATTTTTACTAGCGGTGTGATTCCCACGTCGCAACATATTTTTTTTTTAAATTCAGACAATCATCATGCTTCTTTATTTTATTAATAAAACATGTTGCCACGTGATTATCACGTCGCAACTGGCTTTTTTTAACCACATGATAATCACGTAGCAAAAATACGTGGCTGGAGATGATATTTCTTGTAGTGAGTAGCTTATTTTAAAAATCAGATATATCTTTTTTAACTTACAAACTAAGTTTTTGTTAACAACAAGTGGAATTTTCATGTATATTTCTTTATCCAAATTTCCATAGAAAAAATTTGCATTTATGTCCTATTGGTGTAAATGCCAATTTTGAGAATTTGTTTAGAGGGGAGAAATCTAATGGTGGTCATTTTAACCACATGATCGAATGTTTCAAGGTAATTTAGAACTTCGGTTTGATTGAATCTTTTGAAAATTATTAACTGTGCCTTATATCTTTTAATAGTTTCATTAGCTTGAAACTGAAGTTTTTAAATCTATTTACAAATGAACATTTTGTTTGGTGAAAGAATAGTTAAATCCCAAACTTTATTGTCAATGAGGGGCTTAACTTCATTCTTTACATCTTGTTACCTATGGGGATCAAGAATAACATGCGAGCAAGAAGAAAGTTCGATAATAAAAAATAGTTTTAAATTAAAACATTATGATTAATTGTGATTATGGGATAGAAAATTACACGAAAGAACTATATGTAAGAGATATAAGGGATATAATATATTACACTAGCGATCTGTAAAGGTAAATTATGTTTACTTTGGTGTAGTGCACAAATATTGTCTTGGAGATAGGTTGAAGTTTTTCTAATTTAAATTAACATTTTAATTACTATTTATTATCTTTATTATTGAGTCTCATTTAAATTTTGCACATATCTTATAAATTAATATTTTGAAAAGTGAAAATGAATTTTAAAAGATATTACATTGTAGTATTATCGATGATATGACACAAATAATATTAAAGTGTAAAAATGAGAATTAATTTCTTATACTTTATTATTTTTATTAATATATTGAAAATAATATAAAAAGTAAAAAATAAATGATATAATTAAAAAAAAAATAATTATTATTATATTAAAAAGTAAAAATAACAATTATTTTAAAATAAAAATTATTTATTAAAACTAGAGTTATTTTGAAACACAGAGAGAGTAATATATCGTAAATAAATAATTTTTATCAACAATTAATTTAGTGTACTATATAGAATTAACGGTATTTTAATATTTTTCCAAAGAGGCAAGTTGTTGGAGTGAAGCTGTGGTGCCTCACAGATTAACGGAAAAACAAAAACGCGCCACGTCAGCAAAAAATAGGATCATATGAGCCAGAAGTAGTGGTGTTTACCTCTGGTTTTCAAGTATTACAACAACCTCCTCTCCTTACTGCTAATGCTTCATTCCACTCTCTCATCTTTCTCACTCTTCTTTCTTCATCCATGGAAGTTAACTTCTGCTTCAACCACCACCACCGCGCCTTCCGATTAACCTCTCCCCTCTCCGTTTCCTCTAATCGCACACAGTTCCTCGGTTGCAATCGCAGTCTCCGACCACCTCCACCACCACCTTCATCAGTTCGCTTTTCAAACAAACACAGCAATAGGTTAGGGCTTCTTCGCCTCCATTCACCGCGCTTCGTCTTCAAGGCTTCTTTTCAGTCTCGTCCGCTTATAGTCGTTGTCGTCGTTGTTACTTTATCTGCTATTTCTTTCATTCACTTCACTCTCAACAAGAGAAAGAAGAATCTAAACCAGGTCAAATTACTCTACACTCTATACTCTTTCGATAATTCAGTTCCGCGTTATTATTCTGATTTTTGTACCGTTTAAATGTTCGTTTTCAGTTATATATATATTTCACTATATGGAAATTTAAGTTCGTTTTTAGATCTTCACGTGAACCTGCATATATACATATGGATATTAGTTGCATACTTTAGATAATTTATCATAGGTTCTAAAAAAACCTGTCTGTTTTTTTGAAAACGGTGTCGTAAGTGCTGATAACGATACCATTATTCACTTTGTTTTTATGATGAAAAAGAAATTGTGGTTAATTCACAATGCGACGGCTGCAATCAAAACTGCGACACCTTTACAGACCCAAAACTTGAGCTGATATTTAAAGCCTTCTTCAAACCACCATAGATGTTGTCAAATTCTGTTTGAAATTGAATTGTATAAACTCAGTTATTTAATTAAACAATTAGAATCTGATGCTGAGTTTTTTCTTCTTAGATGCATTTAATTTATTTAATTTTATACATATCGTGGTATGTTTCTGTTAAAACATTGCTAGCTATTAGCTAATGTTCGTAGTGTTTTCAGTGTTTCCTTTTTCGTTCTAGTTCGAACTTGAAGTATTTTTGAATTGATTGCATATGTTCTATACTTCTATTTTATATAATAATTAATAATATTGTATAAGTTTTATACTATCATCCAATGAGAATATGTTACTCTACCATGTCATACAATTAATTAAAAAATATCAAGTCTGACTTGGTGGAATACATGATTGTCATTGGTTGACAGTTTAAAATTAATTTACAATGTCAGTGCATCATTCATTTTCTCTTAATAATACCTTAATTAACATTTTCACTACTACTGATACTGATACAGGGACGTGCAAAATTTGCGTTATCACCACAAGGAAGTAATGTTGGGAACCAGGTTATTGATAGTCAGATTCTCGGTTTTCCAGAATTTCAAAGGGACAACTCACTGAACGAAGTTGGGAAGTTAAGTGATCACCAAGGAAAGGACAACCATGTTTTTGAGGACCAAGAGGTCCACCGTCAATTTTTGGAATCTTCCATGGTGCAGGAAACAGCCTTCAAGACTCGTACATTAGATTCATCTTCGTCTGTTCTTGACTCTAGTGTCAATGGTAACAGTTCCCATGTATTAGAGGAGCCTTTTTTATCTGTGGCTTTCCAATCAAGTCCATTGGAGCCTATAGCTTTTGCTGAGGAAATGACTCTACAGGTGGAAGAAAATCAAGATGTAGTTGACTCTAATCTCGAGTTGCCTTTGAGTATGGTCAAACCTGAGCAAAGTGCTTCTTCTGTTGGTTTAGGTAACGCGCTCGATCCAATCAATGGCCACATTGATGAAAAAATTGAGCTTCATGCCATCAAAAGTGATGTCCCTTTTGGTGAATCTGTTAGGGAAGGGTTGTACATGTTTTATGAGGACAATAATTCTGCACCCGGGTCCATTACACCCTTGAGTAGTAGCAAGTCATTTTCTCCCAGTGATTCTTTCGTGAATAGAACAGAACTGCCAGAAGCTATAAGAAATATCAGCCTGAATGGATTAGGATTATCAGCAGATGTTTGTCTACAAAATGCAGGTAATTACATAAAAGAGAATTCTAGATGATATAAATACTTTGATAATGTGGTTGGTCAAATCTTTTCATAACATCACTATGATGAGCAATCAAAATTTAGACAATACTTTAGTGTAAACCATGTTTGTTGTTTCAGAGTACATTGACAGAGAAGGCTACCCTCCGCAGCATACTAGTAAAAATTTGAGGGAAGCCAGCAGATATACAAGAGACGGGGAAAGGAACTATATGGATCGTAATAGTAACAATGATTTGCCCCAAAGTTCTCACATCATGGTGCAGGTGGATCAGAAAAATGATCAAATTAGGGTTCACGATGGTCAGAAAATCGATCCTTCAGAGCTTCTAAGCAAATATAATACCTTGCTAAAATCTGGGAGGTACTCCAATAAATGTTAAAGAACATAAAAATGTCTTTAGATCACTGCTTGTTGGAATTTTATGCATGTGACAAATTTGCTTTGAATGAAACTATGTGGTCAAACTCCTTCTTATGTTTCTTTACTTTTAATTTAAAGCTTGAAAAACTTATCCTGAAGTACATTGATTTTTGTCAGGTTACGTGAATGTGTAGAATTGCTTAAAGATATGGAAATGAAGGGTTTATTAGATATGACAAAGGTACATACATGCATATTTATGGTTTGTTTCCGGCCATTCTGTTATTTTATTTTTAGTTTTTCTTATATGCCATATTCAATTGTTATAGGTTTATCATGCCAAGTTTTTCAACAGCTGCAAGAAACAAAGAGCTGTTAAAGAAGCTTTTGATTATGTTAGGCTTATTCCAAATCCAATGCTGAGTACATTTAATATGCTTATGTCAGTGTGTGGAAGCTCCCAAGATTCCGAAGGTAAGGTGGTGCTTGTTACCCTCTAAAAGGTTCTTTCTTTGTCACCTTTTCAGTGCTTGACATTCATGTTTTATGTTCAGGGGCTTTCCATGTTATGCAACTTCTTAAGGATGCTCGACTAGATCCTGATTGCAAACTTTATACCAATCTGATATCAACTTGTGCTAAAAGTGGGAAGATTGATCTAATGTTTGAGGTACAATGTCTCTCTTCCGGGCTTTCTTAATTGATTCACCCTAGCTTGGCATTCTTAGGGATAATTATATTTTCTCTGAATCCCGTATATAGTAAAAATATTATTATGCGTGCTTAGGTGTTTCACAAGATGGTTAATTCTGGAGTGGAAGCTAATGTTCATACCTATGGGGCACTTATTGATGGTTGTGCTAGAGCTGGTCAAGTAGGTAAAGCATTTGGTGCTTATGGGATAATGAGGTCAAAGGTACAATTTTTGCTACATATTTTTCTAAAGAATTATATTGTCACCTATTGCGGTATTAGACGAGTTCCTCTTACATTTGTTAAATGTACATACTGATGAAATGTTTGTATGCAGTAGAATGTGAAGCCAGATCGTGTTGTTTTCAATGCACTTATAGCTGCATGTGCACAGTCCGGAGCAGTGTCTCGTGCCTTTGATGTGGTAGCAGAAATGGAAGCTGAAATACAGCCTATTGAGCCAGACCATGTAACTTTTGGTACATTGATGAAGGCATGTGCAAAGGCTGGTCAGGTGTGGATATTTCTTCCCCTATTTCTCTCCTAGTATACTTTTTTTTGTTGAGTAATTATTATGTTTTATGAAATGTATGTAATACTTAACAACAATGGGCTTTCTATAGGTTGAACGAGCACAGGAAGTTTATAAGATGATACAACAATATAATATAAAGGGATCTCCAGAAGTTTACACAATCGCAGTTAATTCTTGTAGTGAAACTGGAGATTGGGAATTTGCACGCAGTGTATACAATGATATGACCCAGAAAGGGGTGCTCCCTGATGAGGTATTATGTTTTTATTTTTGAATTTTTTGGGTGATATAAGTTATTGAAATCTGCATTTTTTGGTTTTAAATTTTAAAATTCTGCCTTTATGTGTATGGTGGTTTCTTGAAGTGGTTCTTGTATGCAGTGTGCTGTCCTTTCTCTACCACTGTTTGCTTACAGAAGTTATTGACTCACCATGCAGATGTTTATGAGTGCACTAATAGATGTTGCTGGGCATGCTAAAAAGCTGGAGGCTGCCTTTGATATCCTACAACAAGCCCGGAAAGAAGGAGTACAGATTGGAGCAATGACATATAGCTCGTTGATGGGTGCCTGTTGCAAGGTATGTATGTCTGGTCAAGTATAATGATTTAAAGGGAAAAACAACAAATCAAAATTGGCGCACAAGAAAATGATGTGAGTATAAGTGAACCATTACACATAGTTCACCATGGGCCATAAAAAATAACTTGGTATAGGTGATAATTCTTTTTTGTTTTATTGCATTTAAGTGTCCCTATTTTTCTTATTGCATGTAAGTGCCCACCATTGCTATGTTAACACTCCGCAAACTCATATATCAAAGCATTCCAGTTTACCATGTTTGGCTTCACACCCATCAATTTCCATACTATCCACCAAACCCAGCGCCTCATTTCAAAGTCTTTGTTCAACATTCAAAAGTGTGCTCTTTGAGAATGCCTAGATTCACCATCATGCCTGTGTTGTGATTTCTACAAGCAGAGTCAGTAATGCATTCGATACAGACAAATCAGGCTTGAGCATTTTATCAATTGTTGTTGGAGCGAAGCAACTTTGATTCTATCATTAGGATGCAATCTGTACCATATCCAGTCAAGTACAAAATGTCAGATCTTTTTCTTTTTTAATCTTGTCAGCGAGTTTACTGGGTTTTACTTTTTACCATAAACATTTTATCACTGAAACAATAATGAATTCACAATAGGGATGCAAACTTACATATTTTTTTAGTTACGATGATGTAAACCTAGATTTTCATCTCCTGCCGAGTTTATTGTTATGAGACGATGCAATGTCTCCCCCATTTGTAAGCATCAATATCTTTGTAGGGTCCGTCTAGCGACCCTCGTTTATTTCTTCTTCAGTTCCCCAGTTATCTATAGCAGCGTTGGATTCTTCTAACTTGAGTTGGATCCAGGGCTCTTTCTAAATCCGAACTGGGTGATTTCAAATTGAATGCCTTCTTGATCTTGTAAGAAGCAGCAGATGAGACGATAGTTGTATGGTGCATGAGTTAGTGGTTGGATGGTCGAGTTTGGAACAAAAATCAGAGGCTTCACCCAAATTCATTTAGGGTGTCTGGTCAGCTAGCAATTTCTAAGAAAAACAATAGATTACCGATAATCTGTGCTATTTAATAAGATAGTAATATATTTGTCAGTTGAGAGACGCGGTTCATCGCAAACCATATAAGTCACTGCCTCACCTTAGACTCCAGAAAATGAAATCATTGCTAATAACTTAATAAGTAATAAGTCTAGTCTTAGGAAAGTTTATTCCAGTTAAAGAACTATTATTGGATATTTTATTCGGATATGTATTATAAGTACTGGGTTTCACTATTTGAATATGTATTACAAGAAATTGCTTCTGTCTAAAAGGTAAAGCATAAATGTCTTATGAGTGTAGTAGTTACGTATTTTGTGTTCTGGTTGATGACCCTGCATCCAGAAGCTAAAAATAATGAATCTAAACTTCTTAATCTAAGAACCCTAAGTAGTACTTTGTTAAAATTGATATAGCTTGAGTGCAAGTTTCCTTAGGCAACTACAGCACCCTTTTGAGTTTCTTTTCCATGTTAGCTTATGTTATTTCAATACTTCTGTTGCATGTAATAAGTCCACCATTTACTAACTAGTGATAAATGCTTATTCCAGACAAGAGATTGGCAGAAAGCGTTGGAGCTTTATGAAAATCTTAAATCTCTTAAATTGGTGCAAACAGTTTCAACTGTTAATGCATTGCTCACCGCACTTTGTAAGTTTGACTTGTCCTTTTTTCCAATTTCATTTTTCGTTCATTCAGGGTTTTATGCTTCAACACTAAGTGATTGGTTTTGAGAAGTATTTCATACTCATAGTAAAAGTAACTACATTTGAAGGAAGATGGTAGGGCTAGTGAAGTTGGGTAACTATAAATTAGGTGGTTTAGTAAACAGATCTGAAGAGAAAGTTAATTGAAAGAAATCAAATTAATTAAAATGGTGAAGAAAGGCCAAAGAGATGTATGACGTGATTAGGCTGCTGATGTTAAAGATTCGATAAAAATTACTCTCCATTCGTACTTGGATAGCTAATAAGTTAGGGGACCAAGAGTCACAAGTGAAGGCAGAGAAACTGGCCACTGTTTACACAAATAACTAATCCACATCATTTTACATTTCTTTTTTCTAAAACATTTCCCGATAAAGACGGGTGAAAAGTGAAAACCATCTAACTTAGAGTTACCTGAAATATGGTCACTTCTAATTTTGTTTTCAATTTTATGTCTGCTTCAGTTGTTTGCCCCCTCCCCCTGATGTGTTCAGTTGCATTGTTTAAGTATAGCCATTTATTAGAAAAATGGACTTCAAAACATTCTAAGAGTTCCATACAGGTAACGGGGATAGATTTCAGAAAGCTTTGGAGGTTTTATCTGAAATGAAAGGTTTAGGATTGCGCCCTAACAGCATCACATTCTCAATACTTATTGTGGCCAGTGAGAAGTAAGCAATCTACTGGATTTGTTGTCGAACTAATGATTTAGCTTGGGTTCTTGACCAAATTTCTTTTGTGCTTGCTTTTGTAGGAAGGATGACATGGAGGCAGCTCAAATGCTCCTTTCTCAAACCAAAAAGGATGGTGCAGCCCCTACTCTAATCATGTGTCGATGCATAATTGGTGAGTGTTGTAGGATTTTGTTAGATTAATTAAATATTCTGTTTGTACTTGCTTTAAAAAGCATGCAGTTCCCAATGTTTCTTCTTCTTTTACTTTCCCTCATTTGGTGCTTTGTTGTCAAAAGACTATTGTCTCACTAGGTGATGTTTGCATATACATGGAAAGTTGGAGTTATATTTAACTTCTGCATTTTTCTTTCAGGTTCTTGAATATATTTTGTCAATTTTGTATTTTCCTATTTGTTATTTGTGTGTTAATTACATAGGAAGAATTCGTATAAACATCATTTTGTATAAAGAATACAGAAATATGATGAACTCTTATTCCTCCTCTTTAGTTATAAAAGTAAATGTATTAGTCATATGATTTTCATATCTTTTATATATGGATTTAGTTCTTTATTTGCTGGGAAGTTAAAACCATAGATCATGGACTTTGGTTAATTCGAGGCCTAAATCTGTTCATATATTATTCCTTGAGAGTTTCATGGTTTGTGAGTCCTGATAGTACTTTGATTTCTTTGAAAGGAATGTGCCTGCGTAGATTTGAGAAAGCTTGCCTTGTTGGTGAACCTGTTTTATCTCTTGATTCAGGACGGCCACAAGTAAATAATGAATGGTATTTTCTATATAATTTCTGAATCAGTTTTTAATATATGATTCTCTGTCATCACCAGTAAAGGATCAATACTAACTATTTATATATATACATTCTTTTAATTCTTGTTTTTTCAATTTTGGTATGTTAACATGCTAAATTATTATTGTGAAGCTATTGAATTTATTTGAGGTAATATTTTGTTTGGATTGGTTCAATTTTTTTCCCGTGTATAATCAATCAACTTTGTTGAAGAAGAAAAGAAGAGTTAGTAACATAAGTGAAGTCTGTAAAATATTTTGTTCTAGCCATTATTTTACTTGGCCTTTTCTTGTAGGTTATTTTCTTAGAGAAGTTTCTAATGCTGCATTTTACTCTTATAGGACATCATTGGCTTTAATGGTGTATCGTGAGACAATCGGAGCTGGTGAAAAACCTACAAGTGAAATGTTGTCACAAATCCTGGGATGCTTGAAATTCCCTTATGATACATGTATAAAAAATAGACTTGTTGAGAACCTGGGAGTAAGTGCTGAATCCTCAAAAAGTTCAAACCTCTGTTCATTGATAGATGGATTTGGTGAATATGATCCTCGTGTCTTTTCAATACTTGAGGTCAGTATGGATGGACTATGAAATTGAAACTAGTATAAAAAATAGTGTTTTAATGTTTCTAAGGGATCCGGATTATCATATGATACTTTACAAATCATGTAGGAAGCTGCTTCATATGGAGTTGTTCCATCTGTATCATTTAAAGTGAATCCTATTGTCATCGATGTTAAAGAATTGCATCCTTATACTGCTGAGGTGAGTTTGTCTAAAACTTAAAAGTACTCCTACAGTGATGATTTATGTTACATAAAAGGTTGCATTTTAACTGTCAAACACTAGAGAAAGAAAGTAATTGCATCTGGGATTCATTATCTCAATTGTAGTTGGGAAGTAAATCCTTGTATAAATCTATTTAAAGGAATTAGGGCATGTACAAGTCACATATCAAAGACCAGCCCAAAATTTTATAAGTCATGGTTTGCTTACTATTATCAACAAACGAGAAGTTTCACTTTTATATCTCTTTCAAGTGTGATTGATTATTGAAATATTTTCAAATTTGATGCAAACTCATGTGTCTATGAGGTGTCAGTTCAATGCTAATAGTCTGACCTTGTAATTTCAAAAGACAATTAATGATTAATTCCCCATTCTGTATTTTTGTTTTTTGATGTAAACTAATATAAAGTAGATAAACCTTTATGCATCTGTAATTGTGAAGTTCATATCCCTAAATCCATGAAATGTTCCAGGTATACCTCTTAACTGTTTTGAAAGGTCTCAAGCATCGACTAGCAGCAGGTAAGTTTTGTGTACATTTTGATAAGTTTTCATCCATTTTCTTTTTTCTATAATTATTGTGTAAAATATATGTTGAAATTTTTTTTTCTTTTTCTAAATTGAGTTTACTTATGATACATTCTCTTCACTTTTTGGAATTGATTCTGATATTTGGATATGGAAATAAGTTTAGTCTTAAGTGTAAATTTTAAGAATTTCATCAACAGTATGCCAATTCAATACTCTTCAACCTCTAGAAAATGTAACCAAACAATCAATATTATGCTAATTCAAAGGACTTGCAAGATTCCATTAGGCTATGTTTGGGAGTTTGGAGGGGAGGGGAGGGGAGGGGAAGGGAGGGTTTCCAAAAATAATTTTTTTTAAAAATATAAAGAAATTTTTAATATTTAAAAAAAAAAGATTTTGTTAAGAATGATAAAATAATGTTTAACATTAATGTATCTTTAGTTTTTGAAATACTATAACAACAAAAAATATATTTAAACAAATTGATTAAGCCCCCCAAAACCCTCCTCCAATACAAATTTTGAGTTCCCCCAAATTAGGGGTTTTTTGGTGTTATGAAGAGAAACAAACCCTTCAAAAGCCTCCTAAACAAAATCTTTCTACTCTTTTCACCCAATCCTTCCTATTTTTCAAAGCTCTCCTCTCCTTTCCCCTCCAAACTCCCAAACATAGCCTTAAAAAACCAAGAAATTTAACAAAATTGCTAGTCTGTGAATCTGTCTAAATGTTATGTTCATTCTTACTCCAAAGTTCTACATTGTTATTTCATCTTCTTGCCTTTTCTTTTATGAATATATTTCAACAAGACTCCAATTTCCAAAACAAGTACGATCCAGGAATTTTCAAAAAAGAGTCATCAAAATGCAATCACTATCAATTACTGTTTATCTTCCCTAAATGCATCAAGGAATGCTATAATATCATCAAGTGTAACAAGAAAGTCAGTAAGGAAAAACAGAGACTAAGCGTCTGTTTGTGTTTGTGTTCGATTCACCGTAGACATGTCTTTTTATTAAAGCTAGTATTATTAGCTTCTTATTTTCACATCTAAACTGCCCACAGATGCACGACATCAAAATTCCAATGCACAACCAAACCATCACTAACTAAAACCTTTTTCTTGCACACCCCTATTTTTAAGTAGTTCAGTCCAAGTCTCACAAACCTTGAAAATTGTTTTTGCACACTCATATTATCTATGTTTTGCTAATAATGGGATTATCACTCATAAGTTAGTTGCTCTCCACCATACTAGTGCATTTTTTCCTCTTTCCTTCTACCTAATGATTTTGCCAATATTATAAAAAGGCTTGTTTTCTGGAATTCCATGAAAGCGATTATGAACAAAGCTTTGCTGTCATGACCTTTTGCTCAATTTCTCGCTTGGTGATCGATTGTTTATTTTTTGATTGGTGATAATGTGAGTTCACACCCTGCAGTTGTTTTCCTCTTTGTTTTTTAACTGTGTGTGTAAATGAACTTGATTAATGATCAGTTTCCATATGCTATTTACAAGTTTACTAACCCAACAGTAGGCGGAAAGTAGTGTTGACATTATTGCCTACTGACTTCCTTGGTTGTTCCCCATGAAATTCTTTTCAGGTGCAAAACTACCAAATATAATCATTTTATTGCCCGTAGAAGAAACAAAAGTTTTGTTTCCCAATGGGGAAAAGATTATTATACTTGCAGAAAGGTGAGAATAGCCAATCACAAATGCATCTATGCCAGCATTTTTTAAATTCATATTTTTAAATTCATTATTTTCTCTACAGCAATTTTTTTCAAGCATATGATATGAGTTACTAATCAAAATTTATGAGCCAGAAGAACCCACCATATGTTTAAACTCAGAAGTATGTTAGACCCCGCTAAATCAAATATTGGAAATCTTTGTGCAACTATTGTCTAGATTTTTTATTTTTGGAAGAACTATTTGTTACTGATTTATTTTGGTGACGCGTCCACATGTTAGTGCCATGATGTATGTGTACAATGAATATTCTAAGTGTCCAAAGTTCATGCTTGAGCAACAGAAATTTCAATTTTCTTTTTCAATTTTTCTCGTAGTATTAGGTATATCATTTACTGTCACTGATAAGGTTGTCGGCAGGTTCATTTTAAATTTTTTTTCATTTTGCATTGTTTTTAGGAGAAATTGTCATAAATGTCTGACCAGGATGATATAATGGAAGATGATCTTAGTTGTTCTTGTTTGAACTTTTTAACTTTTTTTTTTTCAGTATAATATTTTCTCTTGCATAAAAAGTCTATATAAGATATTGTTGAAGAAGTTATGTATAACAAATATGCAATGTTTTGGCTTCAGAGGTGGCCAAGCAGTTGCAGCGCTGTTCAGGAGGCTTCATATTCCTTACCAGGGTAGTGAATCGAATGGGAAGCTTAGAATAAATAGTCCGGGCCTGACAAAATGGTATCAGCCAAAGCTTGCATCTCCCAAATTCGGTTTACAAGGTGACTGGAGCTCATCCCAAGCACGACTCGGCAAAAACATTAGCAATCAGCAGCGAAACATTCGAACTGGCAATCTATCTTTAGACTAAGTGTACATGCATCCATTACCACGGTTAATAATTTTTCAATAGATGTTGAAATCTCCTTCATCCTAATGGAGTCATGGTACAGTAGAAGAAGAGTAATCTAAACCCAAGAAAGCTGCATATAATGCTTTCTTGGGTGCTGAGGCCATTGAATTCGTAAGAGCAGGGAAAGTGTAGTACATATCATCAAGTACATTCTGATGAATGAATTTCATGTACAGATCTCATTCTTGTGATTACCCGTAGCTACGTGGCCTTTGCAACGCGGATTAAACAAATGTTTGATGACAGAGATACTGATATTGGGTGTATGTGTGTATTCTACCTGTACTTTTTTTTGCCAGAACTCTCTAGGTGTATACTAAAATGTAGGCATATAAAGAAATGATGTATATCAGATGATTTTGATATTTCCATTATATATTTTCCATCAGTCAATATGAGAATGGTTTGTTAATTTACATGTTTGAACTATTGTTAGAGTGACTCTCTTATTTTGTATTCTCTGTTTCCAACTGAAGAAAGAAAAGCAGATGTTATATTTGTCACGGCGATTTTGCTTATCTTAAAGACAAATGACTAATTCGACGAAAAAATTCATGAAAGTACATCATCATTTTGTATTGGTGTAGAAGACCAAAGTCAAAATTAAAAACCCATATAGATGGGAAGAAAGATAGGGAAACAGAAAGAATCAAGTGAATCATTGTAGTCTATACATAATTACATAGTACGTTTCATTTTATATTTCTAATCTAGTATACATTATTATATAGGGATTAATCTTTCACAAGGAACGTAGTTGTGAGGTAATATTGATGAAAGCATCTTCTTTGCAAGGAATCGTGAGACCACCCATAGGATGATTATATCCAAACTCTTCTTCAACTCTGTTAAGCAAGTCAAGAAAAGTGGGATGGTTCAAGTATGATATCGGAACCACAAACCGTTTCTTTTGCAGCTCTCCGACGTAGACTGCTATGTGCCCCTTCGGAACATTGTTGGAGTGTTTCGAACCGCTATGGAACTGTGGCGTCGAGGTGGACTTGAATATCTGTTTTGCTTGAAGAACAACAAATGGTAGACGAATGCCCATGATGCTATTACTATCTAATAACTATAACTATTAACCTTCAAACCTTTTTTGGACTCAAGAGAAAAAACTGTGTATATGGAATTGAGTTGTTGTGAAATGTGAAGATTCTATTGGTGTTATATATAGCTTGAAAACAGCTTGAAAACGGAGTGGAAAGCCATACATCAATGTCTAAACTAATTGTGGAGTGGAGTTCTTCGTGACACAAGATTGTGGGACCCATGATATAAAAATCTTATATTAAGAAATCACATGGCTTTGTTAAGCAAGCTATAAGAGCAACTAGAGCGGGAGTTTTTCAATCAGTTGGCCAGCACACCAAACGTCATTGTCAATTTAAAAATTATTGGAGTTATCCACCATGGAAAATCGTAAAACTGCAATGTAACGCTGCTTTGAAATAAAATAATAATAAAAATAAATATGGAAATTCTACAATATTGTATAACCCAATAAAATAATAATAATATATAATATAAAATTTAATATAAATAAAATATTAATATATAAAATAAAGTTGTCAATATAATTTTTTTTAGAGTTACTGTTTTTTAGAGTTACACTGTTTTTAGAGTTGCATTATTAAAATAAAAAATTAATTGAATTATTTACGTGATTTAATAGATTTCACAAAAAAAACTCAAAAATAAATTCACGATTGAAGATACTTTAACTCCGACATCTGAATCTCTTATACTTGTTTATATCTGCCAGCGAAGTTGTATTGGAATGGTCCTTTCAAATAATGAGAGCGCTACGGACAGAGTATGCAAAACCGAGTGCCGTACGCTGAAAAAGGAAAGCCGGTAGTTGTCACTTGAGTCTGTTATCTAACGTGATGTCAGAAAATGACTACAAAAAAGAAATGAAAATTGGATAAAAGAATAAAGTTATATTATATATTTATTTTTTAAATAATATAAATGGTGGTAGAGGTGTAAAATCAGAATTTTTTGTAGCAATAATTATGTTTTAAATAAAAAATATATAAACAACTATTTTTTAGATAAATTTACGTAAATAATTATGTTTTCGAAAACATTATAATGCAGTAACTAAATCAGATGATTTATACATTGATTTTATTAATGGAGGTGCTAATGAGATGACATCTAACCATCTTTTAAATTTTTTTAAAATTTTTTCTTTTTACCTGTAGATTTTCCTGCAATTTTGATGTTTCCTGAGAATTTATTTGTGGATTTCCTGCAGTCTATTTTTCTTCGATAATTCTATAGAAAAATTCGTAAATAAATCCGCAGATAATATCAATTCTGTAGAAAAATCTACACATAACTGAAAAATTTTAAAAATATATAAAAGAAATCAATTCAAATATCATCTTCTCTTTAATTCACTTATTTTTTAAACTATATGATTAGATTGAAATTATTATAAAAAATTGATTAATTTAATATTACAAGTTTAAAATTTGATTATTTAAAAAAAAATCGCAAAACCAAACAAAAACTTGTTGGGATATTGCTCATCTTTCCTAATAGTACTATTTTTGTACAAACAATTTATGAAAATATCTTTTTTATTTAATTGAATTCTTTAGAAAGAGAAGATTTTTTAAAATACTCTTCGGCTAAAAAGTCGGTCTATAAGTCATTCAGAAAAATCTTTTATACCTAAAAACTCAACCTGTTTTCGTAGATATAAGTAATGTTTTTTTTTTTTAATTATTATCAAAATTATTATACTTGGTACTACTTTTTATTGTTACTATCATTATTATATAGTTTATAATTTTTGTATAACCAAAATTATATATACTTGATGATAGTTCTTATTTTTTTTAATAATTTAAGCAATATTGACATATGCTATTTTTTAGATATTAAATGCGGTGTTGTATAATAGAATTAACAGAAGATATTATATAAAAACATTTAAATGTAATGTTAGAGCATAATAAAAACTTGTTATACAAATAAATCAAAATTAGACCTTAAAAATTATTCCCTCTTAACGATTTATAAGTAAATTTTATTTTGTAGATTCATTGAATAATTAATATATCTAGTCTATAAAGGAGAAACGATTATAACTGTTTTGGGTTGTTCAACATGGTGCACAGTGTAGCGGTAAAAATATTGAGATTAATTCATTGAATTGACTTAACTTGTACATATTAAATAAAAAAACGTCACCGCGCTTTATTGTTTTCAAATGAAATGAGAAAAGAACGAATAAACCTTAAAAAAGAGGGGGAGAGAATCTAGGTACGGGGGTTGGTTATGCAAAGAGAATGTATTAGTATCATAAACATCTACGGTACTCCGGTGGAAACTCTTTGAAAATCTGTGTATTTTAGCTATAAAAGGTGTATACAAAAAAATAGATGGTGGGAATGAGAAAAGAAGTATTTTTTTACAATTTTGTATCTGCCGCGGTTGCAAACCCTTAGTGCCTACGTACCACCTTCCGTGCAATAGGAGATCAGGGTACTCGTAGTTCACCTTAAAATTTTTAAAACACATGTGTGTTGGTTAATTTTAAGAGAAGAGACATCATCGTCATATCTGAGTGGAAAACATACTTACTACATACGATTATGAGAAATGAGAATTTGCATCATCTCAAAGTGGAGGATATAGCTTGAACTTTAAAATCAACAAAGCCTCACTCAACACTCAAGTGGAAAATATCTCGTTTCACTACATATGGTAGAAGTATAATAGCTCACATCACTACAAGAATCGACAAGAGTCTAATCTTTTGAGAAAAGTTTAAAACTAAAAAGTCAAAGTGGCGAAAATAGTTTGAATGAGGTTAACTGACTTTTAGTCTTGAGAAAGATGTCAAAGTATGATTAAATTGATTAAAGTTTGATTAAAAAAAGATTTTTTGAAAATGCATGGACCTAAGTCTAAGTTTATTATTAAAGCGGTTCAAGTTAGAAGACAAGAAGAGTTTTGAAAAGAAGGGAGAAGATTTTTTGAAAATAAAGAAGATGGAAGGAGATGAAGGGACTATCCTAAAGCATAAAGTACAAGCCAAGGACAAAAACGATCTAACCACCAAGAAGCCAACACTTGACATAAGAAGTCAATGTAGAATTCCCCATCCTTTGGATTAAAACCAAGCAAGCAAAAATACTAAACCTCTAAAGAACACCAAGCTTCAGATGAATTAAGTCTTCACAAAAATTGGACAGAGTAACAGTTGTATACAGAGGAATTCTCAATAACAGACAAAGTATAAAATCAGAATAACCTGCTCTCAAAGAAAATCAACCCAATGCCTTGGAGTAAACCCCAAGAACTTCAGACAGAATAAAAACAGAGCAACAAGGTCCCTAAGTATTAAGGCTTCTAATCCTAAGTCCGAGAGATCCACAACTCCACTATGCTAAAGATAGTAATCAGATAGTCCAAGTAACCTTAAAGCTTTTAATGTTCAAGTTGATTATTAAGTGTTTTCAAAAGAAAATAAAAGCTTAAATGAGCAAAGATAAAATGACATAAAGATAAATGTTCAAGTGAACAAAAGGGAAATAAAATGAGATGTAAATACTAAAATAAATGGTACATAAAAGTAAAGGTACAAAATAAAGCCATAAAGTAAAGTTAATTGTTAGTGAATTAGAAGTTAGAAGTCAAGTACAAAAGGTTAGTTTAATGACCATCTTGAAGCTTGCTTTTGAAAACTCATTAGAAGATTGATAAAATCAAAGCCTCTCAACAATAAATTTCATTTGATTTTTCTCAAGTATATCATTCATTTCAAGTGCTCGAAACAACCATATATGATCAACGATGTTCAAATGATTCACTTAGACCAAAATTCATGAAGTTCATTAGAGGATTGATAGAATCAAAGCATCATAACAATAAACTTTAAAGTTATTGGATCAAAGGTTTCAAATTAAACATACGTGGGCTTGCAAACATAGGTTTGGGCCACAAATGATCATTTTTTGAATCGAGCTAAATTTAGCGATATGTTAAGCAATCGTAAGTGGACTTATGTAGAAGTCACACCTATTTTGAGGTAGGTCAATAGCAATCTATGTATCAAACATGTTAGAGATATGATATGTAGATCATTCTCCAAAAATATATAGCAGAAATAGAAACAAGAAAGGGACAAAATGAAGAGGGAGGGGAATGATATGTAACCAATGTATCAGATGAAATTAGGGTTTCAAATATCATCAACATCATTCATCCATTTTGGTGGATTTGGTTTTTCAACCTCTCAACACTCAAGATCCAACGAGGTTGAGGAACTTGTCCAATAAAAACACTCAAGTGTCTCCAAATCAGGACCAATAAAAAAATAATAAAATATATTTAATATAAAACAAAATATAAATGATTTAAAAAGGAAATAATTGGTAAAATACACAACATGTATTAAAACACCAAATAAAAATCTTTAAAAAAAACTAGAAGTCAAACATAAATCAACAAGTGTTGAAAATTTTTTTTAGAATTTTTTAAAGTCAGAAACTATTTTTAAAATATAAAGAAATAAGCAAAATAAACCAAAATTTATGAAAAATAGTAAAATCAAAAATAAAAATAAAATAAGGTCACCAATATTTGTTAAGAGGTCATTGGATCCTTCCATAATTTTTTTCAAAATTTAAAAATCAAGAAAAATATTTTTAAACAATTAAAACAAGTCAAATAAAGTGAAAAATCATAAAAAATACCAAATCACATAATAAAATTATAAAAAAATAAAAATCAGAAAGATAATTTTTAAAAATATTTTTGTGAATTTTTTTCACAATTTTCAAGTTAGAAAAGATTTTTTTAATGAATTTTTGAAGTTTAAAACAATTAAAACAAAAATCAGAAAATAAAAATAAAACCAAAATGATGTGGTGCGTTGGATTTGAGTTGTCTATGCATAGTAATTACATCAAATAGTCTAGAGCGCGTGTGTACCATGTGCATTATTCCATTAAAAGCATCTAAACACATTTAAATGAACCAATCAAAATATGACAAAAGGCACACTCTCATTGGCTAGACGAGACATGT